TCCCATACGCTGAAATATTGAAATAATTCTGGAATACATGGAAAACCACTTGAGCATAGTTACATCATTGCAGACACAACCCATGTTCCTGTTGGCCTATAACACCTCCCTCAAAATGATTGTTGCTCTAATTCAAGTAAGTTCAAATGAACAGTAAGCCAAAGGATAGCCAAATAGGGAATTTTTCCTCTCACCACTGGGAAGGGGACCTCGACCACCTCCAACGACAGCCATGGCCACTCTTAAGTAGTCGCTGAAATCACGAATGTGTTCCAACAGCCTCAAGACCCTGTTTTCCCTACGGTTTCGCTTCTCGTCGGGGTCGGCATTCACCACGTTCCTCAGCGCTTGGGCTGCCTTCTGCCTTGCTTCCAAAGGCATTGTTCCTGCTTCGTGAGTTTGATCTCCATGAATGAGTTGTACCAACAGAGGGAGGCATCCTGAAACAGAATTTACAGCCTCAGTGCCAAATTATTATGCCCAGTCAACTGGTGGTTAACATAAGGCTAACAGGCTTACATCTCAAAGTGCATGGTAGGCCTAACTCAAAACCAAATGACAAGTGCTAAGTCCCAACAGTGTGAACATAAAATTTTGTTTTACCATCTATTACACTGTGCAATGCAGTTTCTTTATGTCAAAGGAAGTGAGGATATGTTAATTATGGCAGAAACAACAATAGCATTTAAAATCCATGCTGATTGTGGAACCGTTTCATTTACAAATCACTGTATGAGGCCTTAGTCAGGTATCACGGAATCCCACAGCAGAGCCATGCCTTTGTACGTTTAAATTGAGCCTCGGACTTGGTCAACCTAGCTTAGCCTCTTAAAACTTGATTTAAATAAGATCTAGGGTAGTCAGCGAAGCTATGCCTAATTGTCCTTATCAAGCAAAAAATTTGCCTTTTACTAGTGAACAAACAAAGTTAAGCATAATTTAGGCCAACGATTTTCAGAATTTTCGTACTACCTGACTGCCTCATAGTGACACACGCTTCGGGTGACTGCGTCATCGTCAGCAGGGTCTTGCTTTTCTCAACCGGATCCTGACTCCCCAACATCCCGAGGAGACTGTAAACCATCTCCACCTTTCCACCGAACCCACCAGAACTCAACGGGGACGCAGGACTCACGACACCCGGCGTGGACATCTCGACTCGACCTCAAGCCACACTTTTAATTCAAACCATCACGGTCTGATTCCTCCGTCACGTCGGGGGAGACATTTCCATGCGATTCAAAGGCGCAGCCGACAAACAACACGATTGGGAAGCGCCATGCTTGTTTTTGATCCACGGTCACGTGACCGGATCAGCCAATAGCAACCAAGAGATTCTCCCCCAGCGCCGGTCATCTGACTATAGAGTAGCGGTTGCGTTCGTTAGTCTCAGCCCGTCTCCATGACGTCACCTTACTATTGAGAGATCCCGATAGAATCTACTTTGTTTTGGGTTGACGTCCTGACAACACCAAAGGCTAAACCCTTATTTTGTCTTGTAGATGCCATTGTACTACTTGAGGACGATGCCAGTGATAAGATTATTCATTTGATGAGACAACCTCCGACCCTGCTGTGAAGTTCAACCCCCACTTTCGTGTCATGATTCATCGCCGTAAGAAATCCAAGCAGCTTTTTCACCTTAGCGTACTAATGTCCGGTGTGAAAGCGTGGATTTTCCTTTCCAATGGCACAGATCTCGATATAATTTCAAAATAGGAAATGGAAGGATTTTAAGCTCAGCGGAGTCGGAAATTGCATCACTTACCCTACATTGAGAGGCAGGAGCTTTCGTTTCCGAATGCGTCAAAACATGTTTTGTTAAAGGAAAACATTCCAAGAAAAGGAGAATACGATCGAGAAAAGCGTGACGAGCGATGCCACTTTTATACGCTAGAGTTTTCTCCCGATTCTCGGAATTGATTCTCGAATTCTCGGACTGCCTCGCCGACTCTCGGGCCTAACGTGACCGTGACGTCATCTCTTCCGAGTCGACCGAGGAAGCGAACGCGACCGGTAATTCCATTTCGAGAAATCCGCGATTGCGGAATTCGCCTTTGTTAGTCATCCCGGTGAACGGAGACGTTTTTTTTTTTTTTTTTTTCCCACTCGCCTGATGGCTCTCGCGTCCGGTATCCAATTAAGGCGGATTTTTTTTGGGGGGGGGAGGAAGCGGTGAGGTGAAGGGAAATCGGGTCTCGGGGATGCCCAGTCCCCGGCCGACGGAGTAACGGCGCCTCGGATTCTCACGGCCGAGTCCCCCGATTCCTTGAAGGGGGGAAAATATTTATGTCGTCGTCGGGAACGCGAGTTTCGTTCCTCATCGTTTCGTGGTTTTTGTTTCGCTTGCCTTCGGGTACGCGGCGGGCTCTTTCGATCAAAGTAGGTTGTGTGTTCAATTAATGAAGATAGGAAAAAATTTTGAAGGATCGTCTCTGAATTTGCTGGATTTGAGGGAACGAAAACGATTGCTCTAATATTACTCGTATTTCAATGGTGTCATATGAAATATGAATCTTCTCTGGTCCAAATTTCATCGAGCATAAATGAAGGCGCGGAAAAAGCAGAAGTTTCTCGTCCTTTCTACCGAGTGATGTTTCGTTCATTCGTGGGAAAAGAAAAGAGATACTGCGAGAAACTTGAGAGCAAGCATAAAATGCCGCACGGAAGAAAAAAACGCAATTTCGCGTGGCGCAAAAAAAAAAAAAACCAGTTCTGTTTGGGTTCTATGGAACCCAATGCGGAAAATGGACCTGGTAGGATCCTGATTCTTGTATCATATTGAAAGGGCGACAACAGCTTTGGCTATTGAAAGATTGAAGTATTTGAGCTGGCTTGATAGGACTCTCTTCTTGCATCACGAGTGCCAAGGTCGCAGTCGACAGAACCAAGAATCAGATTTAATTTTTAAAAAAAAGAGCATGGTGGGAGGATCGAACTCACGGTCTTGAGATGATTCGACTCATTCAGATTCCCAACCAAATTTTAGCTACTCGGAAGTTCAGAGCTTCTCTCGTGCTGCTTCCAGTTTCTCGTTTTCGGTTCCAGCACAAGCGAAGAAATAGAGAGCTGAATCGTTTAATGCTTTCGATTCCAATAATTCAATCGTGTTCGTGTCGGAAGAGCCGAAAACTGAGTCGTTTCTTAATAATGTAATGTAAATAAATGTCCGCTTGGTATTTCCACCTAATAAAGAGAAAAGGAGGGAGAAGGGCAAGGGGAGCGGGGCTCAGGTTAGAGATATTCTCACTTTTTCCACTTCTGTGTAGAGACCAGCCGCAGCGTCAGAGGATGAAGGGGAGACGCAATGGGGGTGAGTATTATTGACATCCCTTTGGGAGAGAGTAACCACTAAATTCAAACATTTTGGACGACAAAATAGGGTCGAGAGTGGGGATAACAGTCCCGATGGAGAGGATTGCGAGGTCGTTCGAGAGACTCTGTCAGGTTCGAGGAATGCGAATTTAACACGTTTAAAGGAGCTATAACGCGACGGAAAATCGTTACGAACGGACATCGTGATTCGATTCGCAATGTTAGGGATTCACCTTGAATTCCCTCTTCTCTGATGAAGGATGGTGTCTCGCTATCAAATCCGAGAATTTAGTCATTCAAAGAAAAAGAAACTCCATGTCCTCACTTACAGGTGCTCCATAAGTGGGGAGGGGGAGGGAGGTCACCATTACCATTACTGTAAGGGGTTAATTTCTGAGTCCACCTCTCATCTCTCGGCCTGCCAAGTTCTGAGGTCACTAGACGTCTCTGCGATGGGAGGGGATAATCGGACCGAGTGATATGGCTTTACTCAACCTCAACCACTGACTCTTAGTTTCCAACTCGTTCCCCCTTACGGCCTTCGTGTATTTTCTCTACACAAAAAAAAAATATTTCTGGAATTTCCGATTATTTTTCGTAGAAATTTCCGACGAAGGACCTGTAAACCCAAATTTCGTCTCATGCTCGGAAAAGATTTCCTGCATTTCTTCCGCAAGCCCAGTTTGTCTTCTCTTTTGGAATTTCCCCCTTCCTCTTAAACAAAATATTACGTCTAAGGGACCTACGTGCGAATTCCGACGTTCGAGCGAACGACCCTTTTCCTCGTGCGCGTCATAAAAACCCGTTTCGAATGTTCACCGAAATATCCTTTGTGATCGTTCGTTCGCCACCTCGAAGAAGCGATGCGATACCTTTAGTTTCCAGTCCGAACGATAGATGACTCCCGGTTGTCTCCGATATCCTCTTAAATATGACACCGTGGTGATTCGAAAAACGTATTGTTTCATTCTCAATGAGAAATGTATTTTAATGTGAATTTCCCTGTCGGATACAAGGGAGATGAAGAGCGTGAGAGCTTCTTCTTCCCGTTGGGAGAGGAACTGCTCTGAAACTCAGGACGCCCGAATTCACCGACATCATCTACATTTCCTGGCTGCGGGTGGTCCGCACATCTTGGCTTAATAAGAGAATAAAAGAATCAGGACTCGGTCGTTCTTCCCTAACACTCTTTCTTTGAGAAGAAAGAGGGGCGAGAATGGATCACGATCGTTTCAAAAGTGGATTTAAGGGCGGTACTGAATGATCGCGTTCGTGAATAGAATGTACTTCATGTCCATGGTATGGATGCACCAAATATTCATAGATTAATAACGGGAGGTTCCGCAATGATATCGAAAACCCATTAATCATGCAGTACTTCGAATGGAAAGGAGCCGTTTTTGAATAATGAAGGCAATTAATGAAAATCCGAATGAGACGAAAATTACTTTCGTGAACTGGAACCCGATTCCCACTATGGATTGAAATTTTTCGTAAAAAAGGAAAGCTCCATTATTCGCTTTCGTTGGAATGATCGATTTCCAGGTTTTCTTTCGGAACAGCATGTTTACGTTAAAAAATAGGAACTGATCTGGTTTCCGCTATGAACCCTGAATCCGCTTCTCCGCGCATTAGTAGGAAACCCTGTTTCCGATGCCTTAGTCGGATTTATTTTTTTACAGTGTACGAGTGAATAAGACGTGAAAACTTGAGAAAGGGTCACGCTACGATCACACTTACTACGATGACCAATTTTACTTGGTAAGTGTGATACATTTTTTTCATGCCCGAGCATGTGAGGAACTCCGAAAGGGACCTGTTCGAAAAAGCATGGAATCTATTTTTGATAGAAAGAAAGGGAATTTGATTCTGCAGTACTGATCATGCTGGGAAAGTTGAATGAGGTGCACCGAATTAAGTACTTGAGTTGAAAGGGGGCACATTTATATATTCAGTGAAACATCTCTCAGTTGAACCTGTGAAATATGACGAGATATGTAAACCAGGATTACCATGACAGAGTACTTCTTAGTGCATACTTCGTTGATGGCCTACAGTTCTTGTAAGTACTAAAAAATTAGGATTGATCTCACTTACCCCGAATGATCTGATATTAGATAACGCATTTTCCGGCAGCGCTTCAGAGGCCTAACCTGAATTCATGCAATAAAGGTTCTGCATTTACATAAATGTCAACCACTTACGTGGTAATGTTGTCCCGATCCGGGGTTCCTTACTGAATCGGCTAGGCATGGTTACCTCGTGTAAGCCAGATCGATCTTAAAGCTCCCAATATTCACGTTTCACTTTCGCAGCCCAAAGGGATCTTCTGTCAAAAACTGTAAAAAGTAATTCCGACTAAAGCATCGGAAATAGGGTTTCCGTCAAATGCGCGGAGAAGCGGATTCAGGGTTCATAGCGGAAACTAACGGGAGTCCATCGTTTCAGAGCAGTTCCTCTCCCAACGAGAAGAAGCTCTGACGCTCTTCTTCTCCCTTGTATCCGACAGGGAAATTCACATAAAAATACATTTCTTCTCCAGAATGAAATCTATACGTTTTCGAATCATCACGGTGTCATATTTAAGAGGATATCGGAGACAACCGGGAGTCATCTATCGTTCGGACTGGAAACTAAAGGTATCCGGTGGCTTCCTCGAGGTGGCAATACCATAAGGTCCGAATGGTCACGAAGGATATTTCGGTGAATATTCGAAACGGGCTTTTCTGATGCGAACGAGGAAAAGGGTCGTTCGCTCGAACGTCGGAATTCGCATGGATTTCCCTTAGACGTAATATTTTGTTCAAGAGGAAGGAGAGAGTTCCGAAAAAGAAGTGC